CAAAAGTCAGGACAGAACGGGAGATCAAGTCACCCTTATATGGTGGCCAGAACCTGCCAAGGACCAGAGGCGACCACGATGGCAAAGATGGGAGCAGGATTTGCGTGCCAAGGATTTCAGGGAGACGCCGTATATTCGGAAAGGAGAGCACACACTCATCCGGATCGTGTCAGATGTCAAGCGTCACTAGACGGAGGCGGGTGGGTAAAACACCACAGACTGGACAAGCCAGGATGTGCCGGGATGTGTCGATAATGTTGTGGCGGAACCAAAGAACCGAGAACGTCAAGGCAACCCAGGCACAACCGCACAGGGGCAGAATCAAATTCGCCGAGACGGGGATGTGCCTTGCACAGGAGGGATGGTAGTCGAGAACACTCGGCACCTGCGGCAACGTCATGGCACGGAAAGCTATGTCGCCGAGGCCATCGTAGACTGCTCTGCTACCAAGAGAAACAAAAAAGACTGGTTGGTAAAGACTACTGGCCAGCACCTCAGAACGAATGCATCACGGTAGCATTCCGAGACCAAGAGACTGCTACTCCAGCTCCTGAGTGGGGGCGGGGGTACAACGATGGGATACTCCTGGATTGAGGCCAGTTTGCGGGGAAGAGCAGGTATCATCTGATGTCAAGGAGGCTGCCGAGAGACGCTCAGTGGCCATTCTTGATCACCGCCGAGGATGAGCAGCTCGTTTCGCAGTGTTTTGAGGAGCCGTGTGCAGCTGGGAGAAGAATAGAGCCAAATTCGGGAACGGGTGTTCCAACATGACAGTGCTCCTGTGTGCCGTTAGCAGGGCTCGGGGATTTTGTCAAACGGACGAACAGTGCAAAGAACAGGTAGAGAACAGGAGATGCCTATAGCTCAAAGTCTCGTTTCAAGGGCCTAGGCAATCTGTGTTCACCATGATAACGGCACCGAATAGATGAGTGCCTTGACCCTTTCTCGGTTGGAAACGAGGTGATAGGCAAGCTGGCCGTCGAGGTTCTCTTGGCTTACCACACTGACAGGAGTACATTAGTGTTCAGCCGAAGGGAGAGGTAACGGTCAAGATGGGTAAACGTCATGAGTTCGAGGTTGGTGATTAAGCTTAGTTGGACCTATCCGATTGCCGAGCGCTGTGGTGGTGTTTCAAGCCTTGCCAGCCCCATCTGTCCCCCCAAGTCCCGGCACTTGTTTGGAGAAAAGTGGCTAAATAGCGGGTCTCCTGGGGCGGGAGAGGCTGACAGGCCTGAAGCCGATTAGCAGCGGGAAGCCCCTGTCAACGTTACAGTGCCTGGGAGATGTCACCCACAGGTCCAAGACCCCGCCCAGACGCCCAAGGGGGGGTGATTGGAGCTGCTGATTGGTTACTTTCCATCTTGAAGCCGTGCACCTGCAACGACGGGACCGAGCGCTCATGCAGAGACACACCAACAGATGTCGCAGATGGCACCTTTGAAGCAGCCAAATCCATGGCATTGCTCTATTCCTCACGGGAATGCCCTCGCTTGAATTCCTTCACCTGACTTGGATACCTTGGCTACCGGAACCGTGCGGGTTCCGACCGAAGAAGGGGCTCTTGACATGTCTTATGTCCTCACCCTCGACCAACCACAGACAGCACGCCATCACAGGATTACACGACGTCTTTCGATGGGCTTGGGATTAGAGACAGACTTCGGACAGCTGCATGCACAGCATGCGAGCACGATGCAGGTACACAATCATCTGAAGACACCTACCTAACGAAGCAGCGTGGTCACCCAAATTAGAACCACGGGATCTTCAGTCATCAAGTATGTTCCAGTCCCAGTGACAGATTCACCTCAAGTTCATACTAATCATATACATAGCCCATTCTAATTACATTACACCAAGACGGTGGCCCCGGTACCTGCCGAACCCCAGCCGTTCCTGGCAGCGCGGGACGCAGCTCTTGTTTCCACACGTGTGCGTGGGGCCCAGACTTTACTCCTTCTCAGCCCCCATCCACCCATAGGTCCCTGACCCTGGCTTTCCAGCCGGAAGCTCATCGGATGTTTGGAGACCGTTACCAGTTCTTGGAACGGTCCGAACAGGATGAGGCTCCAAGACAAGGTTGAACTCCTCCTTATCCCAAGCCCCTGAGCTTTCCTGTGCCGTTCATCCCTTAACGGGTGAGATCTGCCAAATTGTCAACAGCATCCTCCACAGAGTCATCCTCGACATCCACCACAGCAGTCTCCGCTGCGGCGGGAACAGCAACGGGAGCAGGAGCTGCTGCTGCTGCTTCAGGGGTAATCGTAGCAAAAGCTTGGACAACAGCTGAAGCTGAAGCAATAGCAGGAGTGGCAGTAGCAACTTCGGCGGATGACACGGACACAACACTGGCGGCGCCAACAACAACATCCGGGTTTGCCGTGGCAATGCTGAAAACTGCCTCAAGATCGGCCGAGGCGACGGACTCGACGAGATCATCAACATCAGGATCAGCCGTGGCAATCGTAAAGTCTGCTGCCGCTGTCGCAGTAGCTGTTTCCAAGGGCGGGTTCTCAGCCGTCGCAATGGTGAAAGAAGCTTCTTCCTGGCCACCAAAGCCCGAACCGTTGGCGCCCGACCCAGCGCCCTGGGAACACGACTGTCGTCTGGCTTTCTGACCGCGGCGGAGCGCGGTCCGTTTCATGGTCTTCCTGGCATCGGCAATTTCTCGCTTGAAGAGGCCTAAGCAACACTATCAGCAACACGCCTCACTTATGAGGGCAAAAAGAAGTATACTGACCTAGGTTGAATCCCCCAAGCACCTTCCCCTTGTTGAATAGATTTTGAACACCTCCCAAATTAAGAAACCCAAGCTGCTGTAACTGTTCTAACTGAGCAAGCTGAAAGAACAGGTCCACATCATTGTTGAAGCCAAAGCCCAGGATGCTATTGCGGTTGAGCTGATTGCCCAAGCAGAAACCCCCCAGCATAGCCAGAATGGCCTCAACAATAGCGTCTTGGTTCCCGAGGTCAAGATTGCCCAGGTTCAGGCCGTTGACATTTAGATTGTTGAGATCTACCTGTCCGCCCAAGTTTAAGCTATCGATGTCAAAACCAGGCGAGGTAACACTGCTGCTGGAGTTGTTGAAGATGCCGGTGGAGTTGTTTAGAACCTGGGCTGACGCCAGGCCAATGGAGAGGAGTACAATTGCAGACTTCATGGTGGGCGGGTGTGTAAACGTCTACCTGCAAACGATGGCGGGTAAAATGTGAAAGAATGGAAGGAGCACAGCTTTCATATGTTAGTTCATGACGAAGAGCCTCATGTCTCAGGACTAGGGGAATATCTTACCTCTGAAGTCAATCAATTAAAAAGAGCGTAAGTGAGGAAATATGGAGCAGCAAAGAAGGAAAGAACCATTCCAAACTACCAACATCGAGGGCCCGTTGAGATGATATACACTTGGCTGTTACCTCATCACTTCAAAATTAAGACACATCCCGTGGCCAGCACCGCTACCGGCTCCCGGTTGTAAGTGTTTGGGAATTCTGTGGTGAAGATGGGATGACGAAACAAAACCTACCCATTAACCATAAATCTGCCCACTTAACATCCCGTTATTCACACAGTCGATGAAACGGGGATTGATATAAGCCGAGGACATCATTTTCACGGCACATAAATCAAGGTTTTGTGTGTAACTGCATGTCATGCGCGGTAGATCCTCAAGATGAGACTTTGGGGGCACGGCTGATAAAGACAAGACACAGAGTGGGAAATTTGAGAAGGAGTCTGGGCCCGACTAAACTGGAGATGACGGAGATATACAAGGAGCCAGATATGAGAGCTATGTCAAAGCACCCTGTCAAGGAACATGGCGATCAGAATACCAGGCATCTCACGAAAACATTTACAAATGATCACGACACCACTCGAAACTTTGAGTTAACAGTCATCGTACCGGCAAACACTTGCACACCAGTCATGAGCACACCGACATTGTCAGCTCCCGCATACAAGAAGCAAATATCACCTTTCCATGACCCGGCACAGTTTATTTACATCCTCAACTCCCTTTTTATTCTGAAATTTCAAGGGCGTATAGTCTAGTGGTAGGATTTCTCATTCGCACGTGTCAGCCCTCCCTGCGGGCTAATTGAACCTTTACCCCTAGATAGGACGGGATCGCACAAAGTGGTTGGGTGGCAGGTCGTCAATAATGAGAGTGTCCCGGGTTCAAACCCCGGTACGTCCATTTTTGATCTTGTCTTCTTCTTTTGTCTTTTTATTTTCTTTTTCTTTTTCTTTTCTATGTTGCTACCTCTTAACCTTCCCTTTCGGAGCTCTTTGACAGCTGCTAGGTAAAACGTCGTCACTTTCTCATGTAGGAGTCGTCAAGCAGCATAAAATGAACAACATCATGGCCGGAACCTGCCGTCTCCCGTTTGCCACTGTCAAATACCTCCCTCCACCCCAGAGGCAAACACAAACCAACATGTCTCACCACAGGCTATATACATCCTCCAAACACACGTCACTCCAACAACTACCTTCGGGGGCGTATGGTCAAGTGGTAAGATTTCTCGAGAGGTCATCACCTTCTAGTGTGTTACATACCTTGCAAGCCCGTTCTGAGCCTCTGAATTGAGGTCTTCACCTTCAAGGTGCCGCACCTTTGAAGCTCTTTCGTGAGCCTCTCTGCTTGGTGAGTTGCATACCCAAGCGACTCTGGCCTCTTGAGAGTCCTGTGGTCGAACCCCAGTGCATCCAGTCATATTTTAGCCTCTTTTTACCTTCTTTCTGCCTTTTGTTCTTATCTCGGATCCCAGATCTATAGGAATCATGTGGGTAAGTGTAATGATGAGCTCAGATTGCTTTGTGTAGAAGAATGCTGTCCAGAAAGGTAAGTTGAGATTGACTATCCCACACAGCTCAAGCTCAACATAGGTTTTCACCATCTCTCTGATTATTCCTTCTCTGCCAAACGGATACCACCGCATTTTCCAGGCAAATCCAACCTTTTGGTACTCAAATCCGCAAGCAAAGTCAACAACCAACAGGGCATGTGGTCAAATGGCAAGAGATCTCATTTGCAAGACCCTCCACTTCTCAGTAAGCCTTCCATGCTAGTGCCGGCCGCTGGAGGGTGAGAAGTGCACGACGGGTGAGTGCCTCTTGAGAAGGTCCCGGGTTCAGACCCCGGTATGTCCATTCACTTTTTGTTTTAGTTTCTTTTAACCTTTCAATTCTAATGTTGGATTTCAGATCATAGATATCATCTTGGCAGAAGGTGGATGAATGATTATACTTGTTTCTGACCAGGTATAGTGTTCAGTAAATGGGGAGTGAACATCTCGCGTAACTTAGACCTGACTCACCACAAACCATTTCCTTTTCCGCTTCCCCCCTCCCTTCAGGCAGACCCAAACGGGCATCTGACTGCCAAGCAGACTCACCCAACCTTTATCGTTCCCAAGCTGGAAAGTAAGTTCAATAAAACACAGGGCGTATGGTCTAATGGTAAGATTTCTCATAAAGGCACCCCTCTCCGCTTATCCCCCTTGTTACTCCAGGGCTTGCATTGGATGGGTACTTGGAATGTCCTCATGAAAGACCTGGGCTCGAGCCCCAGTGTGTTCACATCATTTTTGACCACTTCCCCTCTTTTGTTCCCAATTTACCGAAGCCTGAGAGTAAGAGTTGTGTGTGAAAAGGGAGGTGCAGATGCACAAGACACACCTTTTTATGTACTGTTTTTTTGACTCCCAAGTGAAACGGCCTTGGGCCCTTGGCTGCTAAGCATGATAGTTGAACATGATGGATGAGCATCGCAGCTCAATCTCACCAGAAAGTACTGACATAAACAACCAGCCATGATCTTATGACGCCCGATGGGATCCAAGCACAAAACAAACAAAAAAACAAAAAATAACGCCCACAGCGGATAACTGCACACTGACAAAAACAAACACACCCACCTCAGATCGCTCCTTCCCGACCAGCCACCAGCAGGGGCAGCACATCCATCACAGGGAAAGAGCAACCCATCCGTTGCTCCAGGAACACAAAGTATATATAACCCCAAAATCAAATCTGGTATTCAACAACCAAAAACAGGGCGTATGGTCTAGTGGTTACGACATCTCATTTGCAATTAATGTTTGTTGCTCTCCAAGCTGCTCCAAACAGTCAAAAAGAGTTCAAAGATAATACATTGCTCACATGTGAAGGTCCCGGGTTCGAACCCCGGTTCGTCCACCATGCTTTTGCTTCCTACTCTTCTTCTTTTCTTTTTTCTTTTATTTCTTTTCTTTGTTACATCCCACGATATCCAATACCCATCTACGTAAAGGCAACGTTGAGATATAGACATCATTAATCATCCCCCTCGTAGAGGAAAAATTCTCGAGCGAACAAAAAAAGCCAACATCACGACGACAATAGCTCAACTCGGCTCGAAGAGAGACACAAGGTTATCTTGTATTGTGGTGACACACACGCGAACACATATAGAATGGAGTAGAATGGAGTAAGCACATCACTCACCAAGTCCATGCTGCTGCTGCTGCCGCTTCTTCTTCTTGGAACATCCTTTCAAAAAACAGCGAAAAGTCAAAAGGTTAGATAGCATACCTATATAACTTTCACGTGTGTTTCTGTGTAAGTTGGAAATAGCCCACTGCTCATCATGATAAGGACACACTTCTTTTTCCAACATCTTCGGACCGAGGGGAAACGATAACGACACTCGGTCATCCCGTTGAAAGAATTGTTATGCTACAGCTCTCTCTCTCTCTCTCGCTGTCGTTCTCGTTCAAGTAATGTTCAGGTAACTGGTCCGCAAGCTCTTAACGAAACAGAGCAATCTATTGTACAAGAGATGAATAAGGAAGAATTCGAATGTAAAAAACTTTTGCTATTTCATATACCCCAGCGTCTAAGAGTGAAATCTTGAAGATCATGAGTATCATTATTATTATTCCTACACCGTTCTACCCTTTTTTTTTTTTTAAAGAGTGTGTCGGACCTTCTGTTGCTATTTACATAGGAAAAACCGTGCCGTGTTGGCCGGGTGAAAGCCTATATCGGAAAGTATGAGGAAAGATAAAGTTTTTAAAGTTTCCAGAGAGTTGTAAGATAAGAAGAGAAAGGCCTTGTGTAAGGCCTTGAAGACTGGTCGTCTTCGACTTTGGTTTCAGCCGCCCCTTTTCCCTATTCTTCCTGTTCCTCTTCTTCCTCTTCCTCCTCGTCCACTCCCTCTTCAGGCTTTTCCAATTCTAGTTTTCTCGCTAGACCATACTCCAATAAATGGCCTGAATCCATAAGCCAGTCTAAGACCTTTTTCAGTAGCCGTTGGTTCCGAGATCTACCCTGGAGTATAAAGCTAAGATGCCGGTGGGTACGGATGATATTTCTTGGCCAGGTTCTAGGTCTCGGTGGTGTTGGGCACCCTATAACCAGATGTTCGACCGTCTCCCGTCCTTCTCCGCAGCTGCAATAGGATGTGGGTACCTCTGAGGCTTTTTGTTTGAACAGGAAGCCTCGTAGACCTATTACTCCGGTACGGGCCTGCACTAATAGGGAGTTTTGGGCTTTGGTAAGCTTTCTGTGCTTCATTAGCACTTGATCGGTGAATAGCAGGCCCGGTGGTCCTCCGTTTGCCATCCTTGGTGTCCGGCCCACGGTTTGCTTTTTCCATCGGGTTTCCCACGCTCGATATAGTGCTTCCCTCACCTCCTCTATTTCTTTTGCTCCCCTTGCTCCCCTTGCTCTCCTTGTTCTCCTTGCCAACGGCTTCCTCAAGACAACGGCCTGCCCGGTTCCCCTTCTTGGATTTGGTTTTGGCTGATCCACTGGCCGATAGTCACAGCAGCTCTTTCGATAGCTGAAGGTTCTTGTGGGTGTAGAGGTTTTTGGCCTGGCCTGCGTCTCTGAAATCGTTTGTATATCCTATTGCAAGCCTCCTGTATCAGCGATCCTGGTGGCCGTTTTGGTGCATCTGCGCCTCGCCCAGTGTATAAACAGGGGCTTTGTAGCCGATTTTCGAAGTCTGCCAGTCTCTTGTTGAGGTATAGGTCCAGCGGTGGCACCCAGGTCTCAGTTTCGAGGTTTCTAATCGATGTGGTTTTACATGCTCCTGCTATTATCCTGAGGTTCTTTGACTGGGCTTTTGCCAATCTCCTCGCTGGGCCCTGTGGCTGGCCTTCAGTTACGGCGGGCTGGTGGTAGTTGCTAGCTCGGTATGCGATAGCAAGATCATAAATATTGTGTTAGGTAAATATTGAATCACTCAGAGATAACCAAGCGCAGATGCAAAAGAAATAGACCGAGTAGAAACAGCATTAAGCGTAGCGCAATAAAAAAAAGTATAACAGAACCGCAAACAAATATAAACAGGTGAAACAAGTGTACTGCTCTCCCTCTACTCTTGTTCTCTTTCAACCCCCTCTCTCCCTAAGCTCGTATGTCCAAGTAGCTCTCTAATCTATCTCCCTGTTCCCGAAAATTCCATTCTTTTCTTGCTCCCTAGACCACCCATCCTCCCCTTTAGTGAGCCGTCATTATTGCTCGGTCACTGCCTTGCTGTGGCCGGCCCCTTTACCTCCTTCTACTCACCCCTCCAATCCCTCCAACTCCTCTAGGTAACTTCGACTTCTCTCTGGTGGGGGGTGTCACGCACACAGACAACTCGTAACTAGTGGTATCGTTCGTGCCTTGTCTTGTCTTGCTTGTCATTGAGAAATAAGAAGAAAAAAATGGAAGCGTCCAGATATTTGCATTTGCCGTACCGTATCAGCCATCGCGTTTGCTTGCCTCCTCCATAAAATCCTCATGCCTCCGCCGCCCCAGTCATAATAGCCAGCATCCCAATGAAAATAAAACCCCCAGCGTAATAAAGCCTCTACAAATTTGTAGCATACCTGTCTTCTCTCCTGACACCACAACACGCCCTGATGTTGGAAGAGAATAACGTCATTTATTGTCTCTCGTGTGCCCTCTCTCCCCATTCCACACCTCACCTCACCTCTACCTTCCCCCCTCGTTCCCAAACTCAAACCCATCAACCCATTAGCAGCAGCCCCCACCCTTGTCACCCCCAGTCTGCCCACCAACATTAACTCCCGTCGTCGCCCCAGCACCCCCTTGCTCCGTCTTGCTCGTATCGATAATCCTCTTCTTGATATCTGCCGCCAGGCTGTAGAAAGCTTTCTCGATATTCTCATTCGTCTTGGCCGACACCTCCAAAAACGGGATACCCAACTCGTCCGCGAGCGCCTGGCCCCTTTCAGTTGACACCACCCGCTTCTCCTCCCAGTCGCACTTGTTACCGATCAGGATCTTGTTGACGCCCTCGGTGGCGTGTTGCTCGACGTTGGCAAACCAGGTGCGGATGTCTACCCACTGTCAGTATCATTGACGTACCGGAGGAGAGGAGAAACCTACTGTTGAACGACCTTTCATCTGTCACATCATACACCAACAAAATACCCATCGCACCCCGATAATACGCCGTTGTGATCGTCCTGAACCGCTCCTGTCCGGCAGTATCCCAAATCTGAAGCTTCACGCGCTTGCCGTCGAGCTCGATTGTCCGGATCTTGAAGTCGATGCCGATGGTGGTGATGAAGGAGGGTGTAAACGAGTCCTCGGAGAAGCGGAGGAGGCAGCAGGACTTGCCTACGCCCGAGTCTCCGATCAGCAGGAGCTTGATCTACAATTGGAACGGGGTTAGCATGTTATTGATAGATGGATATCGCGCGATAGTGGACCGGAGCAGTCGGAGTGTGGTGCATTGTGGAGGGGCATGTGAATAGGGGGGCCCTACCAAAAAGTCGTAATTCCTGTTACTCGACATGATGGGCGGTGATGGCCTGTCTCTGTCGATGTTGAGTCGAAGTATGTAGGTGAATTCGGCACGTCGGGGAATAACTCGAGAGATCGGGTTTGATGGTCTCGCCCAAGGAAGTAAAAGGTCGGAGGTAGGTTTAGGTTTGCTTGTGACAGCGGTAGGTAATCGTAATGCGCACAATCAAGATGTGTCTCGGATTAGGTTTGTATGTGTATCGAGGTGACCGAACTGCGTAAAAGGAGTGACACGGTCAGCAACGTTGGGGGTTTGATGTATTCTGGCCGAGATGACGACGGAGCGGCACGACGGCGGCAGCAATAGCAGCTGTTTGGTATGACAAAAGTTTGGGGCAACGGTGAATCAGGGAACAAATGAGCAGGGACGGGGCCTTATCGTCGGTAGTTGTGTAAAGTCGGTGAGGGGGGGGGGAGGGGAAGGCAAGAAGAATGATGGCCTAAACTTACAAGAGCAGAGAGCACACACGGCAGCGGCAGGTAAGAAAGTCAAAGAACCTGGTCACTTCCCAGGAATCCCAGGGGCTGTTGTTAAGGGACTGCGTAATCAAAAGCGTCGTGTTCTAGGTTGCAACCGCACCGGTGGAGTGAAACTTGGCGTTGGCGGACGTGTCGGAATCACCAGAAGATCAAAAACTGGACGTAGTGGGAAAAGATGGCGACAAAGAGCAATCGGTGACGTCCTTCGCAAAATGTCCTGAAGGTGAGCCTCAACACGCAACTGGAAAGCTTGGGAGGTCATGCAGAGAGAGGGACGGCCACAGGTCACCAGGAGTCTTGGCAGCAGCAGGCACAAGGCCTGGGCAGCGCTGGGGCCAAGGGGTCACGCAGACAAGCCCCACTACGCCACAACGTGTTATCAATCATCAGCCTTGCCATTGTTCTCGCTTTGCTTCTCATAACAGCGCATTCCACTGATTCATCGTCATGATATTCGCTGGCTCTTGAGTCTTCATGAATACAAATACAACAAAGGCATGCTTCCCTGTATCCTACACCCATTACCAATCCCTCATCATTTCATGGATCCCAACCATTCGGCATAAGCCCAGCGAATTCTGTCGAGAACCCTAAACAACTCGGGAATCGCCCTAACCTTTGCGAATTCATCAAGATCCTCAATGAACTCCTTTTCAACTTCACGGGGAAGGGCGCCTTGTGCCAGGTTGCGGAGAACATGAGCTTCACAGACCAACAGACCACGGTCCCGGTAAGAGATAGCGTTATTACTCTGGGGGTTGGATTGCGACTCAGTCAAGATCTTGTCCATTTTACGCAGGACGCGGCGAGTGCGCCTGGCTTGTTTGCCACGGCGCAGGCCCTTGCGGCTGCCAAACGCTGTTCTAAGATATTGAATGATTCCGATGGAAACTGCATCGTGTTAGCCGGTTCCA